GACGATGAAATCTCCTGCCCGTTATATTTCACTGATAATAGGAGAACCATTTCTATCCTTTATTGTAGCGCATTTGATATGTATAGAACAAGTATATCATATAAAATTATAAATAAATAGATATTACATCCGAAAATCTTAGATGCATCTCTGCCACAAGTTGATTTTCTCCCAAATTACAGCGTTACAATGTTCAAGGCCTTTTTGCGCTCCTATAACATAATTTTTTTCTCAAATTCTGGCATTTCGCTCTACATTGCATTATCTGCTCATATCTTAGCGCATCGCTATTAGAGATTACGTGCATTTCTCTAGGTCAATGTATAAACCTACAAAAAACCAACTCCAACGAAATTTATTGTTCTGAGGAAATTCCGCTCTAAGCAGTCATTGCTAAGATACAAGACATTAATCGAGTTTGCTTCTAGGCAACATCTTGTAAAAACCCATTAGCCTGGAAGTTTGAAACACAAACGCAAAGCAGGAAATGAGTCTTTACTCATCACTGCTTTCCTTATTTTATTAATATCTTTCGAGAGAGCGAGAGTGAGAGGTCGAAAAGATTTTAGAGAGGTAGAATCCAAGCGAGTAACTCAAGCTCCTGCTATCCGGCAGATCATCGACTTATTTGTTTCTTCTGATTTCGTTGCATATTTTCTGATGTTATCAGTTACTACCTCGCTATCTTCACAAACGGCACCTTTAATATGCAGTGTTGGTTAAACGGTTGCCTATTGTATGTTGCTATCCAAGGCTCAGCAGCAAGTCCCGACGGCAAGCGAGAAATGGTTTGGGAGAGAAAAGAGGGGAAATCGTAGGGATCGGAGAACACCGGAAATAATAGTTTCTTCTTCCGTTTTTGCCTTTTCTAGTGCTCACCTCAAAACTTTCTCCGACAACTCCCTATCATATAACTAGCATGTCCATAAGCCTGCTCCAAGGCTAGAGCGCACTAGCGCGGGAAATTCGAATACGTATTTTCAATAGTTCACTTAAACCCGTTTTTCTAAGCAAATAGTCGTTAAATAGCCTCCAAATTTGGAAGGAAGATGTGCAAAAAGGAAAGTAGATTATACGCAAAAATTTGGAAACCTATGAGGAAAAAAGATCGCCTCACTTTTTTTCTGATTTGAATCTCCAATGATTATGTACCTCGAACCTCAATCTCCGATTAGCAAACATTTTCTTCATAATTTTGCTTTTTCTTATATCAAACGCTTTTATGCAACCCTTGACCCAACTTATAGCGCGATACCCGAATTAAAACACTTTATTTCCTCCTTATAGGGCCCTAAATCGTTTTACTTTAAGGAAGAAAACGCACTTAAAGTAAACGGCACTGCACTAATTGTTCCGTTTGCACGCGTTTCTACAGATTACAAAGCGGTTTCCCATTTTTTTGGGTTTGTTAGAGGATATCGGTCTTCGTAAGTTCTCTACCTTGTGGCGAGATCTGCTTAGGTTACTGCTCCGGTAGATTATCGATTGATTATTGATTCGTTGCCTTTTTTGTATATTTCATGATGTTCTCAGTTACTCTCACACTACTTTCACAAAATCTTGGAAAAAAAACACTTTTGATTTGATTCAATAGTTAAATGGTTGCTTATAACTGGTGTGATAGTTTTCTAATCTCCAAAATTAACTAATTTTTTCAAAGCTTATTGAAAATATAGCAACTATTGCAAAGCAATTCTATTAAC